TATGAAGACCCATCCTTGTAAATTAAAAAAAAAATTCCTAATGTTCTCTTCCCCATAACTGGCAATCAAGTGAACTATAACATGGGAAGTGTTGAATATTCTGCCCAAGTCAATATATTGTGCTTCTCTAGGGGGTGATCTCCACAGGCCTTTCCTACAAAGATTCAAGCTCACATTCCTACCAAACCCTGTGAGGACCTGCAGGATCCAGTAAAGTAATCCTTAAACTTTAAATGTGTGGGGCACCTGGCTGGCTCAGTCCGTAGAGCATGTGAGTCTTGATTTCAGGGTTGTGAGTGCAAGCTCCATGATAAGGCATAGAGGTTATTTATAAATGAATGAATGTAAATTAAAAAAATGTGTAATAGAGCTCCGGGGGGATCTTGTCAAAATGCAGATTCTGACTCACTAGGTATGTAATGTGGGTTGAATTTCCGCATTTCCAATGGTTTCCCTGTGAGGTCTATGCTGCTGGTCTACAGACCACTTGTGTCTCTACTTGTGCAGAGAACTTTTGGTCCACAGAGCCTAAAGTATTTGCTATCCGGACATTTAGGAAAACATTTGGTGGTAAGTAATTTAACCTAATAGTTGATTGTTAAGTTTCTTCATAGTCTCTACATGTTAGCAAGTATTTGTTAGGTATAAATAACAATATATTACTTTTAAGCAACAGGAGAGCATGTATATTAAGTATATCATGGGCTCAGGAAGAACAATCATATCAGATGTGCCTTTCTGCTAACTTGATATTAGCAGATAATAAAACATCACAAATATAATTGAGTTTTATAATATTTACTGATAGTATATTATGGCTTAAACTGCCTTTGAGACATAGCAAAGATAAACTTGCTGAGGGTAAAGACTGAAGAGAAGTGTCTGAAGGAATTATGTAGCTCTTAGAGCTCAAGACTTGAGCACCTGGCATTTTTACATTTTATCCAATTCACCTTCCAAGTATCACTTCCACATAACTCAAATAGAAATGTTGTTTCTACTGTTCAAGGAAAAGATGAGCAGAAATAAAGAGTTAAATAAGTTGTCACAATTATATAAACCAGGAGGTTAAGACGTTGTCCAAATCAGGTAATTCTGAAAATAAGCTTTAAATGGCAATAAAGAGACTTAATATTGATATCACTGGGCTAATTCAGTGAAATAGGTATTTGACTATTATTTCTTCTATTTAGTTAGTAGAAAGAAGCATAAATATTTGATGAATAACATATAGAAAGTATGTGGCATGAATAGCCCTTATTCCAAAGATCTTCGTTCTTCTCAACAGTCTGTATGGTAATTTCCCAGAAATGGGACACAGAGGGAAGAATAGTGTCTGGAAAAAAGAAAGAATCTAAGCCTGATTGTGGATCAAATACAACTACAAAAATTCTCTCCAGAGCTTCACTCATTCTTTCATTCTACAAATATTGAGCACCTACTTGTTCTAGGGGCTGGAGATACATCAGTGAATAAAATAGTCCAAGATACCCTCCCTCAATCTTGTACAATTCTTGTATAGGAGATAAAACATAAAGAAACATAACAAGTAAATTATATGGTATGGTTATAGAATGATACATGCTTTAAAAATATAAAATGTAGAGCAGGATAACGGGGTTTGGGAAAGAGGGGTACGGTTGAGGGGCAGCATGATAAAATTCTATCACTTATATTTAAATGGAAATCATGTATACATGCATTTTGCATAAGTTAGATTCTCTCTACGATTCTTTAAAATATTGAGTAAATGATATATGATTTTAAAAAATTCTAGAAATTCTACCTCTTGTTCTGTGAAATTTTAAGTGATTAACTTGAGAAGTACCTGGTACTATGTAGTCACTCAAGGTTCTAATGAACCAATCAACTGAGATATTAGAGTGTTCTAGCAGTGAGAACATGTGTGATTTGGTTTTTGAATGATTTAAAATCTGCTGCTACAATGACACCATCTAAGATTTCACAACAAAAGTGAAACATATATCGTCTTATGTTCTTAGGATAAATGCCCCCCAATATATTTATATATCAATAAGATTTATAGCCAGTACCATTTATGTGACTCCCAAGGTAAACTCTGATTTTCAGAGTGTAGTATGTATGAGACAGTGAGTGACCTTGGGAACAAGCCCCTAGGCACCCAGGACGCTCCATGCTGGCTGTTGTTTTTCTTGCAGATCAAACAGGGACCAAGGAGCAAGCCCAGACGGGTTCAAACTGATCTGAGATAGGATGGCCACCAAATTTGACCTTTTATCAGCTTTTCCTCTCATTTCAGTGCTAGAAAACATGCCCAGCGGTGGAGACTTAACATGCAAATGAAACATCTGATGTATGAAGAAGCATGTTCTGTCAACCACACCTGTGTGCCCACTTGCCTGGGATTCCCAGCCCTTCCGTGCATGAGCAGGACTCCTTCCTCACCTCAGCCCCCTTAAAACTTCCCCTGGCTATTGTTCTGAGAGCCAGTCTGACACTTTTGTTGAGACTGTGTCTCCTTTTGGCTGCAGCTGCTGCCCCAATAAAGCCTTGCCTGTACCTTTAAATTTTGGGTCCAGCCTTGTTTCTACTGTCGCTGGGTCCAAGAACCCGAGCCTGCTAACAGTTATATCATCTTTCAGTACAAAGTTTACTACTACAAAGAATGCCAGACATAATAGACCTGTGCCTTAAGGTTAAGACATTAAAATAATGGTGACCACATGGTAAATGGCCTAAAATAATGGAATTAAACTGGTGAAAGTCAAACTGTTTTATCAGTATAATAACTGATAATATGATCCACAGATGGACAGCACAGATAAAATAGAAACGCCCTAAGGCCACTATCGAACAGGGGATTAGTGTCTTTGCACTGCATACATGTGGGGATCAATTCTATGTTTAAACTGAAAACAGAAAGAGACATTTTCGTGAAAGCCACTTTTCCACCATCCATTTGGAAAGCCAGTTTGGCTGAGAGAAGGCAGTTGTCACAGAGACTGAAATTTAGAGTGTGCCTCGCATAGAACACCAAAGTTAGAGTAATCCACCAACACCATCAGAACTGATAGAACATATATAAGCAAAGAAGTAATTTCCAAAGAAATCAGGCAACAGAGATTCAATTTCCTTGGACGTCACTTTGAATAAATGTACTGGTAAACACTAAAATATCCCATTGGACATCTACCATAGATTAGATTTAATGAGAAAGAATTGATGCTGGACAGACACAAGGAACTAAACTGGAGTCATTTACTTAGTTAAGGGTCTTAGATCCTTCCACAATCCCCATGAAGTTCAGTGCTATCAGGAATCTATCTTTTTTGCTTTTGTCCTAGAATACAGTACTGTATTCTTCATACTTTGAATTGACAATGCTGTGGTATTAAGTCTACTACCTTTGCTCAATTTTTATTATTTTTGTACTTTGACTTTTGTTAAGTGATCTAACATCTTTATGAGAGTCACAGGATATTTTTAAGGTTTTTTTTCTAAAAATAAGATTGACTGTTAAGTGGCTTGCTGACACTCTCCTGCATCTAATTAACAGATCAGGATAAAAGTGAGAATATACAAAAGTCATTCTGAAAACTCAAAGGTTATGTTACAAACAAATGATTATCTTGGTGATTCACTAGGCATAATATAAAATGTGAGCAAATCCTTATAAGCTACATTCCAGGAGAAACATTTTTAAAGGTGATCTTCAATTTTGCTTAATGACTAATCATGATCTTTTACATTATCATATCATCTCAGAATCTCAAGTGCATTTATATTTTTCCTGGTCTCTAATTTATAGCACTGATGTTATTGACACAGAGAATAAAATATTCAGTTATCCTTACACCTGTTTCTCAAAGCACATCTATTATAAATATTAAATTCTTTTTTTTAGTTATTGTTCTAAATGCATTGACTATCTTTAAGTTAGGAATACAGTAACCTGAATATATTAACCTGAAAAATACTTATATCTAGAGCTTCAATATTATGGAGTCTTTGGGGCTATTTTCACCAGACTTTGATAAAAGAGGAATTATGAGATAAGGTGAAAAAAAGGGAAATGAATTTTGGAAACTTCTTTGTGGGGGAAAATTTAAGAGATTCCAGTAAATGTGTCACCGATGGTACTTTGATGGTTTATAAATAGAGACGGTCCTATTAGTTCATACTGTTTTCTGAACCATATAATAAAATTGGAGGAGTGTTGTTCCAACAGCAGAAGCTATTTCAGCAAGGTTGGAGGGTAACTGCTATGATTCAGGCTGACCTACTGTAAACTAATCTCAGTCCAATACAAAAAGACAGATGTATTAAAATAAAAGAATAATGGAAAATATTGCTTACAGACTACTATATTAAGATTTAGAACCAAAGAGTTTACAACATACTCTGATCAAAGATGGCCACTCTTCACAAACTTCTGGCAATTTAATTATTATCACTGTGTTTGGTTTAGAAAACTAAAATGGGCACAGTTAACTAAGAGTATGTACATTTTTCTTTTCTTCTTCCCCCACCTTTTTTTTTGGCTAATCTCAACACAATGAGGAATAAACAAGAGATCTTTGAGTTTTCACCAGTTACGACTTTCAGTCTTTCTTTGCTGCCACTTAAATGACATTTCAAGCATATTTCAAATTTTGCCAGTTTGGTTATTATAAGACTCTTGTTTTAACTTTATTTTCAGATTAAATTCAAATGTCCTCTCCCCCTCCCTCTCTTGTGGGGCACTGTTGGGCTTATTCGACAGACTCTTGATCAGGACCAAGGGAAATTTCTGGTACCATTTTTGTCAACCTGTAAGGCTTTCTTGCCACCAACTTTGGGACTTAGTTGCCAACTTCTGGACAAGACAAATGCCCCCAAATGTCCTGTATGGTGCCCCCAAAATGTTCCATTTAGAGCACAATCTGTAAACCTTCATTTCCCTCCATTCTGATCCATGTTCATTCAACCTCCACCCCCAAAGATAGCAAACATATAAGACTGAAGAAAAATTGGATTACCATGGCTGTTACATCTGGATGTTTCCACGAGCCTGCCATTTTGGTCGTAGCATGCCATTGCTTGGTAACGATATCCTTGACCACATTCCTTGGTATCGCCTTGTGTTTTCACTCCCAGCAACGCTTCCACTTTCCCCTCTGGTAAAATGCAGTCTGACCAGTTCCCCACAGGCTGTGCATTATACTTGTCACAAGGACAGTACTGAGTCTCAATCAGGGGGTACAAATGAGAATTTTTACATTTTTCCTTCTTTTTACTTTTTCCTGTGGAGAAATTTAAGTTGGAAAATATCGTTATTCATTTCAAGCATCCCTAATTTTCCTCCTTTCCTAAACTTCCTTTCTCCATTTTTAACCATAGTCAACAGTAGCTTACAATGAATGCTATTTTCTCACTCCACAGTGCTTTCTCTGGAGGCTCTTATTAGTACTGGGTGCCTTGCAATAGCAAAAGTTTTCTTATTTTCTCATTTTAAAATCACCATTTGCAAAAGGCGTTCACTGTTTTGCTGAATTTTATACTCTTTGAATGATTGAAACACTTTCCAATGATCACGTGCTTTCACTGACTAGGGGAATTTAAGGTAATTGCATAAATCTCTCCTTTATAACATGTGCAAAAATATGAAATGGAGAAAGTCTCTGTACTGGACTGTATAGCTTTAGTTAATTCCAAATAGATGGCATGGTTATAGAGGATTATAATTCAAAAAAAGAGATTTTTATATTTTCTTTTGTTAACTTTTTATTTTTTTTTAAGATTTTATTTTATTTATTTGACAGAACGAGAGAGAGGGAACACAAGCAGGGAGAGTGGGAGAGGGAGAAGCAGACTCCCCGCTGAGCAGGAAGCCTGATGCGGGGCTTGATCCCAGGACCCCGGGATCATGACCTGAGCCGAAGGTAGATGCTTAACGACTGAGCCACCCAGGCACCCCCTCTATTTACTTTTCTGATTATGACTTTGCATCTTTCATTATTTCGGAAGAGTCATCATTTTGACACACTTGGTGGTTAGTGTAATAAGTAATATTAACAGTGAAGATATTTAGTGTCAGAAAAAAGTACTAGGAATGGTCTGCATATAAATCTAAATAAATTCCCTTTTAAAATAAAAAACGAACAGTAATATGTGCTTGAAAATAATATGTCATTATTTCAATTGAATCACATTTCTATTATCTATTTATTATGCTTTATATCATATAATACTATTAGTTATATCACACACAATTAATTGCATATGTTTTACATGTATTTATTTCTAACTTTCAGAATGTGCTTTATATAGTTTTCAACAGACTTCATTATGACAGGTGGTTCATTTTATAACTTGTAAATTCGGAATAGTCTAATGGCTATTTTTTTTTAGGTTTCTTCTTGCCATTGACAATACTTTTGAATACACTAGGTTTAGTTCGGTATGATAGCTCCCGTTCTCGCTCATTATATCCCTGCTTTTGTCATTGTGACTGCCTTTTAAAACGCAGTTTTCAGATACAAAATTAGTGTCATATTCCACTTCTAAGGTATGAATAATAATCTGAGGCTGTGACAGTGAGAATGGGTTAAGAAAATGAGCGGTAACCTTTCCATTTGTTCTCCAAACACCTCACGGTGTGTAGGCAATCCACCAGAAGTGTATGTTTAAACCAAAAAAAATAATCTACCTATTGTATAGGGAGCCAGCTCAATTTTCAAGGTTATTCTTCCTTTCTACTAAAAGTACATAGCATGTCTGTCACGGACAACTTACATTAAAATACACATACGAATCCACTGGCGTATACCAGCAGCAATAAGACGTGTGTATGTGTTTTCCAAACACATTGTCAGAACTCTCTTGGTCTAACTTTTTTTTTTTTAACGATTTTATTTACTTATTTGACAGAGAGATAGCGAGAGCAGGAACACAAGCAGGGGGAGTGGGAGAGGGAGAAGCAGGCTTCCTGCCAAGCAGGGAGCCCGATGCGGGGCTCAATCCCAGGACTCTGGGATCATGACCTGAGCTGAAGGCAGACGCTTAACGACTGAGCCACCCAGGCACCCTCTTGGTCTAACTTTTAATGTGTTTTCTAAGTTGACAGTGTTGGCTTTCACATCCCAATTATTCTTACCAACAATAGTGCGTTTTCTGGTCCTAACTGCACCACAGTCTCCGTTGCATGATGAAAACTTGGACCAGCTGGTAAACTGACAGTCATCTTGGCAGGGGATCTGGCAGGCCTGGGTGAGGGCTGGAACAGGGCCTGCATACCAAAGGCATTCATGGATGCCAGCCGGTCCTCCATCTTGCTTTCGACAAGTAATAGCTAAAGGAAAAGCATATAGAGCTGTTTAAAACAAACTTGAATGTCTATAATTATTGAATCCACAATTTTGGAATTAACCTAACATTTTCTTATGCAGTCAGAGGAATCCTCTTTTAATTCCTTATTTGCAGCAGAAATCTGGGAGGAGTGTTTCTAATAATCACAGTAGTCATTAAATTGATCCTGTAGGTTTTTTAAAATAACAGATAACCCTCAGTGGTTTATGTGACACAGAAAAGTGCGTGGGCGTGCACACACACACACACACACACACACACAGCATTTAGCAGTTTTTATTACATGCTATTAAGGATTTCAAGTCCTTATTTAGAAATTAATTATTTAAGAGACAACACATGGGTTCTGATAATAGTTTATGCTGAACATAGACTATTCACAGAGGTGCTGGGAGACACCACATACCTCTAATACTGTTTATATATCATTGGTTGCTCTAGGATTTCTATATAGAAGGGTCTTAGTGCCAGCAAATTGGAAGGTTTGGGTGAGGAGGGGATGCTTATGGAAACCATCTGGTAACTGCATTTGCATGGAAAGCATGTTATTTTACTACATTGGAAGTTTGTTGGGATGGCTTTGGAGTGGTTAATGGGGGAGGGGGGCTGTGTCAAAGTCACCCATTCAGCTGTCTACAAGTTCTTCACATGCACAAATATCAACCATGAATTTAAAAATAAAAGCAAAAACTTCTAGCAATTTTTATCATATCATAATTGACATTTCCACAATTACATACGGGCTCTAAGAAATGGTCAAATAATTTTAATTCATACATATGATTTCCCCCAAGATATTGTTCTACTGGATTTTTAAAACTCATGTCATATTTTTATTGCTTATTGAACATAGTCATAAAATTAAGGTATCAAGACTCAAAGAAAAAGAGCAAGTGATGTTCTAAAGTCCCCTTTCTCTCTCTGTCATTTTTTCCCATGGTTTTAAAAATAATTTATTCACTTATTGAGGAAGAAGACAAAACATTTAGACCTTGGTCCTAAAAGTGTCTTCCTTGGTCCTAAAAGTGTCTTCCTTGAACTAGCTTACATGGCCCCAGTCAGACTGATTTACGTGGCCCTTTCAGGTTTATGACCTAGGCTGGAACTTGATCTCTTTCCCACTCAGGATCCTATTCATCATGAAACTAAGGTGAGGGAGCCTGACATTTTGATCCTAAGTTATAGTTAGGGCACCTAGGGTCCCAGGTTAGATAACACTCTCCAGATCTGTATAGTAAAACTTAACATCTAGTAGTAGGGCTGTGTGATGCGGTGTCTAAAAGGATGTAACAGTTTTCACAAGGGAAGACTTTCTCTGTGTAGGTGAATACAACTTGTCACAACTGGTGCAGGAAAAGTTACCTAACTGTGAAAATGTAGGTCAGTATTCATCTAGTTTTTAGCTAAAGATACCTCTTCATTTAATGTGCACAACACTGAAAGGGCCAATTTGTATGAAGAGGACACAGGGGTCCCTGAATTTTAAATATATGAAAACCCGGTAGAATGAACAGTGGTGGCGGTTATGAAAGTTCTGTGACAGGAGACAGCAACAAGTGCCCCGAAGAGACTCTCACCACTCGGGAGAGGAGGTCCGCTGCTCTGTGTTTATCCTACTGGTCTAGTGGCGGTTCTCAAATCAGGCTGCAGATTGCAATCACCCAGATAGCTTCTGAGAGCTGTCCATACCCTTGCCAAACTCTAACATTCTGATTTATTGGTTGAAGACAGGGTCCTGGGCATTAGCATCTTTTTAAAACCTCCTTGGTGATTCAAGTATGAAGCAGTGGATCAAGACCACCGCTCTAGCAGGTGATGTATTTCCACTTGCATCAGAAACACATGGAATACTGTTAAAATGGAAGATTCTTGGATTCATTCCAGTGCCTTGGTGCTCCATCACCCTGGCACTGTGCCAAGGTTGAGAAACAATGCCGAGCAGGTGCAGATGAACTAAGGGAGCTCTAAAAGTGGAACTCAAGGGGCCTTGCACAAGCAGTGAACCAAAGGAGCATCCACGTAGTTTGGCAGAATGTTATCCGTGGATCTGGATCGATACTGGAGGACTCCCCATGAAGTGGTATGCTAATGATGTGACTTTGCAATCTGCTGCCACGTGGAGGCAGAGTTGATTCCTTAAACACTGTAAACTTAGTAACCTCTGATAGTTTGTGGGCAAAGTTGTCCCAAGGAAGCTCGAGAGGGAGGACTGACAAAGAGGGAGATATTAGATGATTTATTTATCAGGATATGTAGGAATCTGAAGAATGATTAATTTGGAAAAGAAGAGATTTGACTATATCAGAACTCTAGGCTGTGAAGGGGATCACATTGTAGTAAAAGTAAAAAAGTAAAAAAACTAAATCTGGGTTCTTTAAAATAAGACTACTTTTATCTATTCATCCACTCTGACTCTCTGAAACAGACACCTGAATAGAAATCTTTTGAGAAGCTAAATGAAATTGCCTTAGGTTCTCCATTAAGGCTCTCTAAGGTTCTCTTACAAATGTTATTTCAGAATTGCTCTCTCATCACATTAAATGACACCAAAAAACCAAGATAAAATAAAACCACCAACAACACAATTCCAGAAACAAGCTAGTTTATTTTGTGCAGATCTATACTATTTGTATAAATGTAGAGCCCTTTTCCCTATATGCCTTAAGTATTTCAATTAGTGGAAAAGAAAAAAATGTAAATTTCCCATATCTGTTCTCAGAAACCCATGCAGCATTCCGCTCCCCTTATCTGAGATTTTAGACGTGTACTTTGAATGAATTACTCATATAATGTTATCTAAACAAGTAACAACAGCAATATTTCTACAACATATTGAAAATTTATCATACATCTCAACTTGTTTCTCTTCTGACTTAGAGGAAACACAACAATTCAAGTGCAGGAATGCAATCTGAAACTAACTTCCTGCTATTAGGGTGAGGAAAATATAAATGCTTGGAAAGGAAACCATCTGGTCTCTCAACTTTATAAACCTTGAAAGTCATTTCTAAGATACTGAAAACAGGGTGGTTTTAACCATAGAAAAGATGCATCATACTAAGCATGGTTTCCTAGCACACCAGAAAGCTACATATACCCAGACAGTTGTATCTGTATTTACAGGTGGAGGGTGTATGATGATTACCAAGTTCTCCTTTGGGCTGAGGTCTTGTGAACAAGATGGGCCAAAACCCATGCTGCCCATCTGCTTCATTCACCCTGAAAGCTTCTTAGTGAGGTCAGCAAATATCGAAATAATTACTTTAAGGTAAAATTCTTCAACTTTATGTTGATTGTATCTGTTTATTTATAATCGTATTTTACTTATATGAGGCACAGCAATTTTTATTTCAGTGTCATTCCAGCAGGCTCAAAGTCTGGGGAGACATCCATGTGGCTGCCTTGTGGGTTACATCTGAATTAGGCGAAGCCACTCAGCTCATCAACATGGAGGGAATGATGGAAGGATAAGTAAGGGAGTGAGTGTCTTCAACAGATAAATGCTCTGGAAAAGGGAGCTAGAATTATTAGATTAAAAGTGACTCAACAAATATTCTAACCAAATGCAACGTGGAGACATTTATGAACCTTGGTTTGAACAAATTGATTGTGGACATTTTTGAGACGATGGGAAGAAATTAGACATGTTGTAAACATAGATGATATTGAAGAATTATTGTTAATTTTGTTTAGTGTTATAGTAATACTACTGTTACATTTAAAACAATAAGGTATTTATGGGTGATATACATTTTATCTGGGAGTTGCTTTAAAATATTCCAGCAAAATCTTTGTGAGTGAGGAGTGGCAGATGACCAAGAATGGCAGCATGCTAAAGACTGGAAGCTGAAGAAACGAAGACCACCCTACCAGGGCTCATTATATTAGTCTTCCTATTTCGGGGTCTCTTTGAAACTTCCCATAAATTTAAATAAAAAAATTAATCAGTTGAATAAGTAAAGTCAATTTTAGAATGTTTTCATGTAGGTTGAATTTTGCGCTATGTTTTAAAGAGGAGAATAATCAAGGTTGCTAGAATGAAAGGAAATAGATAACATTGGTTTGAGCTAAAAGGACACGGATATCTGTGTTATGCATATATGACTATGTAAATGGAACATTACCAACGCAGCCCTGAAGTAAATCTAATAGAATTCCAAATGCCGTTGCTCATCTTCATTTTCTTGAAGAGGAATGAAACTACCTTATTATTCAGGATGCACAAAAGAAAAAGGAGTTCTCTCGGTCTGCAGATCATCCTTCAGCATGCAAGACCATGTCATTTCGTTTGAATAATCAGTGAAATAAATGACTAGATCTAGAATGTGCACATAGAAGTTCATTACAGGAAATAGAAGAAGATCAATGCCCCAGTGCAGTGAAAGCTGCTGGATTAGATGTAAACAGAGTTCAAGGAGCTCTGAGACATTATTTATTAAGTTGAGTAATATTAACATGGTTTACCTCTCAGCAACAGCATCTGGGTATGTGTTCAGTGGACTGAATGCTTAGAGGAGTGATTTTTTCCTATAGTGTTAATGAAAAAAATGGCAAAAGTGAGAACGAATCATGTAGAAATGAAAAAGAAAAAGCTTAATGTGAGTGAAAGCTAGTTACCCAGAGACCTAATTGTGCTTAGAAATAAGACCCAACCCATAAATAATGCAAGAGGGCTCCAGTTGTTTACTAGGTGGATGTAATGATCCCGGGCTTTCTCTGTGTAGAAGAGATTTTCACTGACAAGTTTGCCAAATTACTTTCTAATGACAACTTGTGAATATAACTCTGGCAGAATGGAAAGAAATGCACTTTTTTTTTAATTGATCCTAAATAGTTACCAATGATTCCCCAGTCTCACTGATGTTAATAATATATGTGAATATATGTGAAAGTCCTTGAATGAGGACTTACTAGGAAGTAATAATCAGCTCCCAGTGGAGAAGCTCAGACGAGGGACCAGAGAAGGGCTAACTAACTACATCA